ATTTCAAGACTTCTAGATACGCCACTGGCAAAATAGTATCGTAGGTAGGAATTTGTCTGATATTTTTCGAAAGAATACCGAAGCCGACTGCGTTAAATACAAACAAAATAAGTACCGTACATTTTATGCGTAGCCCACTATATGTAAAATTCATTTGAATTTAATTTTTGCTGACCATTTTCATCATTGAATAGGTCTACATGATCATAATATGATGGTTTGAAGAACAAGAAAACTAAACTTTTTTTTTAAATTTTGTTTTCTTTTTTGCCACAAGAAATGGTCTACTTTAGTAGGAAATGCTCCGAATATTTTTAATCCGAAACTGACTTTCTAGCACCAACAATAATCACAATACAAAGTTGAATTCTTTTGCATAACAATTAATATGGGCCCACTTTCAACTCTGGGGACTGAATTTGACGATTGCTACATTGCAATATGACCTAACAATTATAGTGTATATGTATATGGACGCCATAAAAACTGGGGTTATATTATACTCTTGAATCAATTTGAGTTATATATTTTCACTGACTTTTGTTAATAGGCCTATATTGGAAATGGCAAACCTTGTGACTACTATAGTACAACCTTACAATTACATGGTTGTCATCTCAATAATTTAGCTAAGATACTTACGGAAACCAGCCCATCTTAGAACACTAATTTAGTAGTAGAACCTGTTCTTCTTCCTTTGTAATATTGAGTATTATGAATATTATTATCATTAAATATACATAAAAATACTTTATTATATATTATATATATAGACTCCAGGAGTAGCCGAAATATTCGCCAGATAAATGTTAGTGTTTCTAAAGCTAACATCTTACGTATTTGAGTTTCATTACTTTTACGCTATATTATATTATATTATATTTTATTATTATTTTAATATAAATTAAAACTTAAAATCTCTGGATAAAGCAGAAAACAAAAGAACTTACGTTTTAAGCTTTCGACTATCACTGTAGTCTTGTTCACAACGGCACACGATGGAAATTGGGTCATAGGGATTGTGACGTCAGCGGTGAGGCTGGGTGGGCCTGGTCCTGGTCCTCCTTCAAAGTGTTGTTCCATATGTTTGGAAGATTATATCTTCCACCATCTCCATTCAACGTTGGTCTGTTGGCCCTGATGTAGATTGCTTCCTTGACCCCTCTCTCAAACCATCTTGGTTCCACAGTTAGGATTTTAGCCTTATTAAATTTGACGCTGTGTCGAAAGCTTAAAACGTATGTTCTTTTGTTTTCTACTTTATCCAGAGATATAAAGTTTTAATTTATATTTATTATTGTCAACCTGGATAGATGAATCTACATCAGTCGGTTATTATTATTGTTATAGTACATATATTCGATTTAGGTGTTTATTTGTTCCACACCCAAGGTCGGCAGTTCAACTCACCATTTAAAAGATTGCGGCGATAGGTCTAAAGTAGGTCTGAATAGTAGGTAGCTAGGCCTATATTCGTAAAAATCAAGATACAACATTCACACTTTGCACTTGAGCTCTAATGACAACATCTGGAATGCCGATCGCAATTCTTTTACTCTATTATTATTATACTATTATTTTGTAAGACTTTACTTAATTGAGAGTTGTAGACAAATGTTGATAATTGAATGCCTTATGAAGATTGATTTAGTTTATGTGTACCGTTATATCATATATCCCACTGTCGCTCTCAATGCATATAATTTTAAAATTATATATTAAAAAAGAACACAAAGGCAAATTCATAATCCCTTAATTACTTAGAACAACTACATTTTACTTAAGCCTAAGCTGGTTCCATGCCCGAACATGATCAACATATTTCACATTATGGTATATTTTTACAGTTTATAATCAACGTTGTCGTATATATTTTCACCTGTAGTTGGATCCTCTACAGTGCTCTGTTTACGACATTCTGACGTCAAGTCTTCATAATGTTCGTTTGGTGTTAATTCAGATGAGCTATTGGACCCATTAAGTTTTCTAAAACTACGTGGTGTTGGTCTTGGTTTCACGCGCATTGTTGGCTTGTTTTGTTTTGTAGTGTTGCTTAGGTCAAGTTTAGTTGTGTTCACTGAACCCTCTGTTTGTGTTTTTGCTAGTGTCTCCTTGGCATTTAAAGGTTTCAGTTCCGTGTTCTCGTAGACCGGCGTATCATCGATTATTCTCATTGGTGCAACTCTCTCCACAGGTTTTCCTTCTGCGTCTGTTTCTTCATCCTCTGAAAAATCATCTGTCATGTACGCTGAACCTTCACTTGTACAGCTTTCCTTTTCGTCAAGATTTTCGTAAGAGGGAAAATCTTCTATTATTCGTTCATTGGTTTGTTTTGGTTGATTTGGAACAACAGTATGGAAGGATTTCAGCAATGTCTGACTCATTTCATTTTCAAAGTTTATTGAATTGCGATTTTTCACCACTTCAACATTTCCAGTCATATCGTTTCCTTTATTACCAAGCGGTACAAAATGTACAATATCATTTTTTTCAAATCTCCGTGATATACGGAGGTCAGGCGACGAGCCACGGTTTTCGAAACCACTGAATCGTCTCGACAAACTTCGCCTTTTAACATTTGCCAATAGGTTGTCTAGTGTAAGACTGCTTCGTTTATTTGAATAATCGGGATTATTTGAAGAACTAACCGAGGAACCGGCGCCTAAAGTTCGATGGCGTCGAACCACAGGTTGATCAAATGCGACTTGTTCAGATGGAAGGCTAGAAGGTATATCATCAGATTCGCCTTCCAAATCGATTTCTGATATCTGAATTTCTTCTTTTCGTTCTATAACATTTTCCATGGATTCCTCTGAAGCTCCTGCATTCTCTTCACTTTTGATGGCCGCGTAGTCGTCCTCAACCGAGTTATCATCTTCTTTTTTGTTTTCATTTTGTGGAACGATGTTCGTTCGGAGTTTTCTTACAGTTTCAAGAAATGTCCGTTTTGGTTTTTCTGGACGGAGATCATTCACAAAAGCACTGATTTTCTCTGTTGGCAGCTTTGCAACTAATGATCTCAACAAACTCCGACTCTTGTATGTTTCACTTTCATTTTCGGTGCTTTCATTGATTGGACATTGTTCCTCGCGCTCAATATTAATCTCAACTATCCCATCATCATTACTGGTAGATTCCTGATATTCTACATTTGGTGTCACCGATGTATGAGCCTCAGTTGTCTCGCTTATGGTGCAAGAGATGTTATCCGTGTTTTCTTTTTTCTTTGACACTAACCTAGGTAATACATTAGGCTTGCTAAAATTTTGTGCTAATTCTTCGTTTTCATTATTTTGGGTTACGTATTGTTTGTCATGTTGTGTTTTCCTTTTCAACGGTATGGCGTACATTTCATTCGTTTCACCTGCACTATCAACAGTGCTATCTTTCTTTACACCTTCATTTGACTCGTTATTTGAGTTGGACCTAATTGCTACGCACTGCATGAATTTAGCAGAAAATCTTTTTCCAGACTTGTCTATTTCATTATTACGTTTGTAGAGAAATACTGCAAGAACGATAATGAACACTGACAATCCCAAAAGAGATATAACTACTCCAATAACGGTACTATTCGATGACTTTCCTTGGTCGAGTACTCCTTTAGCTCCAGTGTTGTTGATAAAATCAGACGACTTATTTCCTTTTATTGTTCCGTTGGTATTTGATTCACCAGTATTTTCATCTATGGGTATTACAGTAGTTGTGAGAAAAATTTCATTTTCTGTGTTGCTAACATATGCATGGGCACTACCATAGTAAATTATATTAGATCTTCCGGTCACCCGACACGTGACTTCTGCGTCATTTAACTCTTCTACAACCCATAAAATTTTGAGTGTCTTGCCGTCGTGCTTGATCCGGTAATGAACATTCTCTTCAATTAATCTAGAAGGAACCTCACCGTTTATAAACCATTTATATTTTAGAGGTTTTGGTATACCGGTACTTTCACAAACAAATTTTCCACTGTGATTCAAAGCGAGGGTCTGAACACTCGGTTCAACTGATACGACTGGGTTCATTTTCAATGGTGTAAGTTTGCATGAAGGAGGTGATGTCATTTTTGGAGAATCAACTATACATGAGAACACGGCACCACTGTCAGCTTTAGTAATATTCCAGATTAATATGTTTACAGAAGCACGTGGTACATTGCCTTCAATTGGACTACCATTTCTGAGCCACACAACTTGAGGCGTCGGATCTCCTGTGCTTGTGCAACGCATCGTTACAATCGGACTGGGGATCGCTGTGTCTGCCTTTCTTACTGCACATAGTGGAGTTTTAGGGGGATCCGCCAACACAAGGGACGCCTCTGGCGAGCGATTTGGCAATGTTGGTTTATCAGGATAATAAAAACACTTGTAGTCACCAATATCTAATGAAGATACGTTGCGTATTTGTAAAAAGTATTCATTTTTACTCGCATCGCCAATTATCGAATATCTCATAATCTTTGAAGAAGACACAGTATTATGAATACGTCTGTTCACGCTAATCCAGCTGTCGGACGTACCAAATGAGTAATACCAATAAACATTTTCAACGTCAGTAGTAACAGCACACTTGAATACAACTGTTTCTCCACGAACAACAATTTTGTCCTTAGGTTCTACGAGAAATGAAGATCTTACTATTTTTGATAAAAATAATAACGACAGAGATGTGATGATTCTAAAGCGAAGCATCGTGTATATTTTTCAGTGCCGTATACTGTGTATCCACTACTACCACATGGGCGAATTTGTGACAAACGCCGTGTCGTGCTGTGTATTTACTTTCGTGATGAGAGCTCACTGTATTTTCCAAGCAGCTGACAAACCCTGAAAAGAGATTAAAATGCTTAATAAGTTTTACAAAAAAAAAGCAAATAACCAGTGTATGTGTAAAAACAAACAACAAAGCAACCCAGGGGCGCAATGTAGGATATATATTTTTTGTTTACTCGTACGTAACGGCGCGTCCAAAGAAAAATAAAACCAAGAAAATTAAAACTTAACCAATCAACCTTAAAAAAAATTAATTAACAGAGTAAATTATACAGACATACGTTGAAAATGTATATATATAATTATATATATATATTACATGCATACAAGATGTG